TCATTTCAACTACAGTTGAAATGTATTTCTGGATTTTTTTTTTTGTTATTTTTGTTCTGAGTTGGGGTTTTTTTTCCCTCAAATTCACAACATGAACTTGAGAAAACATTCTTAGCTTTTATGGTACCATCCACTTCAGACATAAATTGAGATATGGACACACAGAAATAATGTATGCCAAATGATATTAATAAGTGTGATGTCAGCAGATAGAACAACCCAGGGAAGTTATACATCCATTTATTTAAATACAGGTTTGGGGAAGTTTTTTTGTCTCTGTTTGTTCAAAAGGAATTAGCTGCAAGGCACTTCAACATATAACAATACCTACTGACACGCAGTGAGGGTGCTCAGCACCTTCTGTAATCCTTTCCTAGGAACATTGGACAAGAGAGATACAAAACAATTTTGCTGTAATTTAGTAAGACAAACAGAAGCCACCTGTTTCACATCACATGGGCACACCATGCAAACAGTCCCCCACTTCCCTCATCAGGAGGATTCCTGGTTGTATTTAAAATTGCTAAACTGATTTCTTTTATTTTTTTAAGAAAAAAAAAAAGGACTTACAATATGCTGTAGAACTTGTCTTACTTAAAGTATGTCACAAATTGTTAGTGTCCTACTATGGGTAAGCATAGTACGAACTCATTTAAGGCTCTGATTTGAGACATTCAAACCTTTATGATCATTTCACTCTCTACCACTGGCCCTAGGTATTAAAATAGGCATCGAATCAAAATATTCTGACTTAAAAATTAACCTGATAAAAGCATGAAAATAGCAAAACAGAGCTCTGCAGTCCTCTTTAGCCTCTGTTCACATTTTGACTGTGAATACCAATTTATCATTCAACTACAATTTTTTCTAAAGAAGGGTAATATTAAGAGGAAGTTTTGAAAATCCTATTTACACACAACTCCACACTGGCTTCTTGACTTTGTAAGAATATACACTATTCTTATCCGTTTCTAGAACTCAGAATTGAACTCCACCCACTATACTTTCCATTCAAAGGAGAAAAATAAAAAAGGAGAAAAAAGAGGCTCTTGATTGAGACTTTCAACAGAAAATAGGAAGCCATGAAGGATGAGAAAAAGAAAGAGCAAGTCACCTTCAATTTTATTCTTGGGAACAATCTTCTCAGAGACACACCAATACTCACTTAGCTCACATCACCAAACAAGAACAATTCAGAAGAAAACAATGAAAAAAAAAAAGGAAAAGCAAATGTTGTGGAATAAAAACAGACAACATCCTGGTCTCCTCAAAACATCTATTCAAAAATTCACCCATGCCTTGAATGTTTGGTATTATCCTGTTCCACAATGAAGAACAATGTTGTGGAAGAGTAATTTTGATTTATGGCCACGAACACTGTTTGTAGAACAGTATCTGACGATTTCTAGTTCCACGCAGAAATTCAGTAGCATTTACATCTATGTATATTTACAGACATCAGTGTCAGACACAAAATTATTTCCAGATGTCAGTGTCAGACAAAACTTCATAATATATTTATTTCCTCCTGAGATCAAGGAACTGATTGCCTAGTACATGCCAGTACACTACAAAACCAGGGCAATGCCATTTGTAACGTCCTTCAGTAAGAGAGTTCAAAGTTGTTTCTGTAAGTCCGTACAGGATGGCAGAGTACAAAAGAAAGGTCTGGAAGAAGTTTCAGCTCCATCTGGCACTATACCACAGACAGGGTAAGAACTAGAGTCAGAGCAAATGAGTGGTAAGATGTGAGCTGGTGAAAACCAGCTGTCTGAGGTCAAATGGCACGTTCAACAGCATTCCCAAGCCTTGCTGCGTATTTCTCTGTAACAGGCAGAGCTGATTTCTGACTCCAATACCAAAATCAGCTGCTTAACTCAAGCTGGTGCAGTTACTGACTTTCTGAAGTGGTACATCAGGCCTGTTTTCTTTTGTTCATTAATGCTTCTTGGCTGCTATTCTATACACTTTGAAATGCTTCTAAACTAATTTCAGGGTATATACAATTCACCTAACATTTCTTCTTTGATAAAGCATTGGTCTCATTCGGCCATTTGGGGAACCCAAAAGTTTAAGTGAGATCCCATGTTAGTGGAATTAGCCAGTATCAGAGCAGTCACTTCTCTGAGGACATAAAATTAATTAATTTAAGTACTTAGTATAAAATGAATTTTCTTTCTCAGCTGGCTATACAATTTTAGTGGATATATGCCACACTCTTGAGAGTCAGGAACCTATTTCAGGTCTACTTACTAGTTTGATGAACACATCATTCAAGATGATACCACCCAGCCTCTAGCTTTAAGATTAGTTTAGATTTTTATTCCACAATCAGATTTTTCTCACTGATGTGAGAATTACTGAAACATAGCATGTAACCAACCCAAACCAACCCCCCTCCTACCCCAAACAAAAACAACAACAAAAAACCAACCAGCTTGATATACACTGTAAAGAAAATTCATCCCAAAACGCACAGGTTTACCACTTCCAGACCACAGAATGATCAACGACAGGATCATAGTTGGTATTTCCCATGTTCAGCCTACAGTCAGCAAGCTTTCAAATAGGAAAGAAAGGACAAAGTATACTTTCCTTCAGCACTGTGTGCTCCAAGAACAAAAGGGCCTCTTATTACACATCCACCACACCAGTGTTTGGGTATTTTTGGGGGGTCTGGAATTTTTATGGGTTCCTTTTGCAAACATAACACATGACAACATAGAAAACAGATTCCCAACACACTGAGCTGCATTCGAGAGTCCTGGGAAAGTATATGAGCATCTTATGCTGCACACAAAATAAAACCCCTGAAACAGAAATCTATCTTTTTAGACCTTCTTTGGTTGACTAATATATCCTATCACACATTTCTACAAGTCAGCTGAGGGGGTCACACCACAGCTTTCAGAACCTTATCTACAGCATACCATTACTTCAAGCTATCACAAACATTTTCCATCCTTTCCATGTGAAACAACATAATACATTAGAAAAAGCAGTTTTGTTTTTATAGACAAACCGCCAACAGGTCACCGTGGCATTTTTGTTACAATGCTTTTACTTTCAAAACCAAAATAAATCTAGAATTAGGTACTCAAAGAAGCATGCATTGTAAAGCAGTAGCAAACACACAGGTCAAAAACAATCAACCAACCTAGACTCAGCTACTTTTTCTAAACCTCCCCTCATTCCAAGACAAAATACAGACTTGAGGAGCTAGAATTAAAACAAAACAGAACAAACCTGGCTGCAACCAAATGAAGAAACCTACATTTGGAGAGCTGGCAAGTCTAAGTAATTAGTTGATCACTAAGTGCTAAGCTTTGTCAGTTCATTGATCTTTTCAGGCTCAGTCATTATCTAATAGCTGGAAGAATTAACAGCTACTTCCATACAGAAAGTGGGTTCAAAACTGCACTGGCAACTCACAGAAATGGCATTTCATAAGAGGAATCATCCTTTAAACACAGAACTTGACCACTAATACAAATATTTCATTCAGTATTCACACCCTCAAAACTAAAATGCATTGAAGAAAAATGACAAAGTTAAATATAGGGACCAAATATGGTGCTGATTATCAGAGAGAAGTATATATATATATATGTGTATATATATATATATAAAAAATGAGAATCTTCATAGATGCCTTGGCCTTGTCAGACTGCTCCAAAAAAATACACAAGTGATGTTACAAAAATATTTTAACTTATTATATGTTAAAATATTTTAGGATTTCATGCCCTTATCCCATAGCTCGGCACCACAAACTAGCAAGATTGCTTCCCATTCACCTGCTATGAATGTAAACTGAATCAATAAGGGAGTTTACCCAGTTCAATACCCTGTCTCAGACAGACAGACAGCTTAAGGCACGTCAGAGTACAGTACAGGAAGCCTCAGAAATAGGAAATTACATAAGAACATGCCCACGCACAGGGAGTTCCTTCCTAACTGCAAGCAGTTAGTGGTTGGCCACACCCTGAAGCATGGAGATTCGTATCTGCATTAAAAACAGTAAATCTACAATGTAACATTTGAAATATTTATTATTTATATGTTTATCTAATCCCCATTTAAAATAATGCTTTTTTCAACAGTAACTCTAGAAATCAAGGTCCACAAGTTAATTACACATTGAAAGCAACAATACAACTTTCAGTCAGAACAGACCTTGCTGAGCCCTGTTATTAATCTTTCACTCAAGTGCTCGTAGAAACACACCCCTAGACAACAAACTCTTTAAGGCTGGTGTTTGTAAGGCATTCTCTGTGTTCATAAAACTACATAAATTAAAAAATAAAGAGTTAGGATTTGGACCTGAAAAATAATGAAGGTACAGTCTAGTATCAGCTTTGCTTTCCAAACACAGCTGATAAAAGATCAGCTGGACAACTCCCAAGCAGATGGAGAGAACTGTGAAATTAAAGAGCATGCTGAACATACCTCCTTCAAATATGTATTAATTCCCAAAAAAAGTTATTTCAGTACCCCTGATTTGCTCCAAGCCAGCAAAGCATAAACTAGGAATGGTTGATACGTGTTTACACATGAAAGCATGAATTCCCACACTTAAAACTTGACTTCTTTCAAGCGTATAAATTTCAGCATTGTTTACTAAAACATGTGAATGTACTTTCTAAAGTATTTTCAGGGGTGTGCATGTAGCCAATGAGACAGCTAAGATTTTATGCTCACGTCTGCAATCTTTAAGAGAATTTCACAGTTCTAAAAACCTGTTTGGAAGCAGGATGTTATTTACCCAGGGATGCAACTGGATATCATGACTCACTGCAGAATTGTGTTATCTACTGTTAATTTTTCTCCTATACACACACTCAGCAG